GGGACATTTTGCGATTTGTTAAGGAATATAACGTTTTATAGTAATACCAGCTTTTTTAGAAAAACAGAAAATTCCGAAAACATTTGGAAATTGGGCGTATTAGGTAAACTTAAGTTTTACATGTACAGTAAGCCTAACAACTAAGTCAGCCCAGTAGTCGTTCTGGTGGATTCTACATGATTGCATAGACAATCCTGCTTGGGCAGTCATCTTGCTGTTTCGTAAGGGTGGATTCCATACGAACGGTAAGTTAGACGGGTAAAATCGACTTAAGTGTGATTAAATTCACGGCGCAAGGCGTGGCTTCGTAGCTCAAATCGATAGAGCTTTGGCTGCGTATTTGACCTTCCTGCTGTGTGGGTTCGACTCCCGTCGACACCGCGAGTTTTTTCACAGATTACTGTCATCTGCATGAGCCAATATAAGTAGTTTAGAGTCTGTTGATAGTTGTAAAGCGCTAGAGGAACGTCAAAATCTGCAAAGTATTTTTGGTGACAGCTGCGAAAATATAGGTACTGAAACATAATTGATCATTTGAGCCGCAGTTAACTCCACAATGCTTTGTTTATTACTTCATGCATATGCACAGGTAAATGGGACCTCAGTCAGCATAATTGTACTCGCCACATAGAACGAGTATGCTTTCTGCCATGCAGGGGAGTTTGAGACTTTATTTAACTTTTGAAGACATAGTCAACTTAAACAAGTTAACGATTATACAGATATCTTTGTTGACCTGTATATTCTTATTTTCACGGTTGATTTTAGCTATCCTAAGATGTTAATTACCAAAATGACTGCGACATATTTGGACTGAAATTACGAAGAAAAAGAATGCAGGACCAGTTGCTTTTGAGCTTAAAACCACGTCACTTTCAAAAGACCATAGGAGTGGTCTCCAACAGCCTCACTGGAAAAGTGTTTATCGCCTAAAGTGGTGTATTAAGAGGTAAAATTCTTTTCGCAAAAAACGTACATATGTTTTTGAAACATATCGGAACAGTTTGCTTTACCTAATTAAAGAAAAAGTCATTTGAATTTTGCACAGTTTTTCGCACATTAGAGAGCCGTTAATAATGGAATTTGTCGCGGTGAGAGAAATAAATAAAATGTAACCTTGACATATCAGCATTCGTGCACTTAGAAATCATCCGACACTCTGCAATTCACGGCGGAACATTCTCTAACCGCGTGATCAGCCCTCAGTTTGGTATCAGTCCTTCAAGGCCATAGTGGTTGGCTGAGAGAATAAACTCGGGGAGGGATCCAGTATGTTTATTAGAATGTACCTAAAGTTGGTTTGTTTAATAACTTGTAAGGAACTGTCGCAAAAATTTGGTCCTGGAGCTAGGTTCCCTCTGTCGTATCTGCGCCGAATTGTTGGAGTATCTGCACT